GAATGGGCAGGGTGTAGGATAAGTCAAAACGGCTGCTGGGACCAGGCTGAGCTGGGTTACCTTCTTGATGCTAAAGTTATTTTTCACCCTATGAAAAATGAAAATTAGAATACTAAGTCCTGGATAGTCATCAGGGTGCGTTTCATATGCCTGTCCGTACTTTCACATTCAGTCCGATGTATGACAAAGCCGTTCTGCAAGCAGCCTCTTCTTTCTCACATTCTTCCCCTTTTATCCCCCCCACCCTTTTTTAATATCGTCCTCCTGCACCCTCAGCTATTGCTCTCTTCCAAGTAAGCCGAGTCTGCACACACCAGGGCCTGCGCCCCATCGCAGAGAGCAGTTCCCATGAGCACACCCTCTACCCCAGCCCACAGAGGCAGAGTTCAGCCCAAGCCATCTATCTGGTCAGACTGGCGGAGCAGCTTGCTGAAGGGATCCTGCTGGACTGAGACGGATGTAGACAGATAGAGGGCTACAGGGAGTAGAGAGCGTGAGAGCCAACCAGACACAAAGAAGCAAACAAGCACATGAGGGGAGACTGGAAGACAGCAGGCAGCCAGGCCCAGCACTCATGAGCTAGTTCAACCCTCATGGCAACCCCAGTGGAATAGTCCAAGCCAGCGCAAGTGAGCCAACTCCTGAGCTCATTTTAATGGCTTCTGTCCCAAGCCTGAGTCACTGGGGATGCCATGGACTTCAAGACAGCCCTTCATGCATTTCCAAAAACAAACTGCTTGATGCTGTCATGGAAAACCTGGATCTTTGCAGTCTATGGTTTCACTGTGGATTACATCCAGGTCACAACCTCAGGGAGACAGCTGGCAGAAACCCACCCTGCTGGCTGATTACCCAGCTTTTGTAATGAATCCCAGAGGGCTATGAACCGATGTGTGTTTCTGGCTCTGCAAAGTCCTGGACAAGTCCTCACCAGTGAAGACCAATCAGTCAGTGCTTTATTCTGTGAGCGAAGCCTGAGAAACCACCTGTAATCAAGACTCAGCTGCTAGAAGCTGCCTCCAGAAAGGAAAGGAACGGGGAATGTGTATGTCAAGGGGAAGAGGGATGGAAGAAGTGCTTTGCTTTCCTGTCAGTTCAGCTGTTATCTTCTGCTAAAAAAAAAAAAAAAAAAAGGTTCTGAGGACACCCACAGTCACATTAAAGTCACAGGACTGTTCTGTACTCTTCAGCCCCAACGCAGGCAGGCTTTTAAGGGGCCAGGGAATAGCATGTACAGTGGTTGATTTCAACAGAACAGGGTCAGTTCTAAAGACTATAAAAGACACCCCTATTCTTTAGAACACAGCAATTCTAGGAAACATTAAAAATATACTAAAATCTGCCAAGAAAACAGAAATACTTTAATAATCATATAAAGCTACCACTTATTATGTGCCAAGCCCTGTGTTTAAGCCTTTCTCATATCTTATTTAATCCTCAAACCAGCCTTGAGGTATATACTACTGTTATACCCATTCTACACGTGAGAAAACTGAGGCTTAGAGAAGCGAGGTCAATTGGTCAACATTTCACAGCCACTTTAAGGCGCGGTCAGGACTGATCCAGGGTCAGGTGAGGCTTCCTGTTTTACCGCTACTGAGAATAAGCGTGGAACACCAAGGGCATTTATGCACAAGTATTTAGGAAGTATTAGCTGGGTGCTCATCTAATGGGCCTTGAATGCAAATCCTGCTATATGGGTTAACAGTCAAGAGTTGTATTTTATTATTATTTTTTAAGTTACCCAGATTTTGAGATTTCCACTGAAGTAGCAGATTCTTTCACACCAGCTTCTAAAATCAAAATATCAAGATTTTGATGATTTATGTTATATATTTTATAGACAATGAAGGCTATAATGCCTGTGGCCTATTTATTCTTTAAAATTAAGTACAGCAAAGGAATATGCTTACAGTATCTTGTAATCTTTCATCCAGTTGCATTTTACGGAACTGCCATTTTTGTCAAAATGAAAAGAGTAAGAATAAACAGTCTGAATGTATTTTCAAAGAATATCCTTTTGTTGCTCTGACAGCAGCCTCCCTCTTGCCATCTGTTTCGGTGTTGGATAGACTCCGGCCAGGTTCGGGGCGGGGGGCAGGGAGAGAGAAGACTGATGCGCACAGCTGTCCAGTCCTAGACTGGCGCTGGGGCTGACCAGATGCCGTTACAGACTGGCCGAGAGGAGGGAAAGAAGTCAGCTGCTTCAGACATAAGCTTTCTCAGCCGGGGATTCAAGGGCCGTGGCCGTCACTCGTGTTGGCTTGAACTGCCCGGTGCAGACCTCCATGAGGGGAGAAAGCCCACTGAGCACCACGTCCGGAGGCCCCCGCACTCCAGCATGAGGGAGTCGGCTGACCCTGCTTAGCCTGCTTTCCCAGGATTTCTTAGGGATACTGCTCAGCTGGAAGGAGAAAAGCAACCGCTTCTCCTGAATTTCAGTGCTTAGTCTTAGAGATCAGTGGGCCCCAGAGAGATAGTCTGACTATACAGGAATCTCTGCCTCCTGCCAATTTAAAATTTTGAGTAATTTCAGACTTTCTAAGATCCTGTGTGTATGCATGAGGAACATAAGTGATGGGAGTGGGGCGAAACTTAAGATTTCTTTGGGAAAATCTAAACTTTGGAAGAGACCTGCGACCAACAGACTTGCACCAGGGGTATGGTGCTACTTTTTCTCTTCAACTCTTCTTCCCAGAGGCTTGCTACATACATAGAGGGGGAAGGAGGGAGGAAGAGAGAGGAGTCAGGGATAACTCATTGGAGTGTGTGAATAATGCCAAAGATATGTACTAATCTTTGTGCCAAAATGAATGCTCTTGCCATTTATGTGAAACAGCAGACAAGAGCACCAAAAGATTTGCTGGACTAATCCACTTTGAGAGATTGAGTTCACTGGACTAAACACCATATTAAAAAACTGCATGCAAATACTATTTAAGACTGAAGGCTAGCTACAAGTTGCTTCTGCATGACTGTAAAAGACAGGTGTGGTGTTAGGGTCCGAGAAGTCCCACCCTTACTGTAAACAGCCACTGATTTGCTAGAAGGCACTGTTTCTCAGGATGAAAAGCATGCCTAGGGATGACAAGTCAATTACACCTGGATACCAGTAAATGCATAGGCAACCGCCCCTCTTGTCAACCAGAACTCTTCAACAGGACCCACAGATTGTGTGCCGGCTTCCCTTCATTTGCATGTTCACACTGATTTTCTAAAAGCCTTAGTAATACTCCTCGAGGGAAGCTTGAAGCTATACTCGCATATATGTACACACCCGAGGCACTGTGTGTCTGAGGGCAACTGAGTAGGGCATTTCTCTGACAAGGAAAGATGATTTGGTATCGAAACCCATCTTATTTAACATTTCTAGGAGGTGACCTGACAAGCTGAACAGAGCAAATTTCAGATTTCAGGAGTCAATCAAAAGGGGCCAATAAGTTTCATGGAATCAAAAATTAAAATTAAAACAAAAAAATCTAAGGTAATGTCATATTTTGCAGTCTCCCTATTTTTCAGGAGAGGAATGCCAGGGTCCAGAGAGGTGGTACATTTATCTCAAGTGAAACTCAAGTTAGTAGCAAAGGTAAAATAGATCAAAGTGGAATCCTGGCCTCCCAAATTCTGTAGTGCCTACTGGTGCCTGGGTCATTCCTGGAATAGCTGTTCCTGGCAGACCATTCAAACAGACCAGGATTGTGGAGCAGGTCCTCTGTCATTTCTCTGGGCCCACTGCCCCCCTAAACACACACACACACACACACGCCCTGCCCCCACCCCCTAGATTCGAGGAATGAAAAACATTCTTATCAGTTGTTTGGGGATAAAAAACAAACAAACCTGTGTTTGACCTGTTTACCTGGAAGTCAGCCCTGCTGAGCTCAAGACTTTGCTATAAGGCAGACTAGAGTGAATGCATTTTGACTGTTTCTTTACAGGCCTGGACACCAGGCTCAGTGCTTATCCTCATTGTCGAGTTAAGTGCACACACTTGAGAATTTGCTGAGAGATGAGTCACCGTGCCCTTCAGTTAGCATTGTAGGTGGAATACTGTTTCTCATGTTAGAGTTCAGATTAATAAATAGTTTGGTTATGATTGCTGAGATGTTAATTTCTATTCTGAAAATCAATGCACAAGTCTATCCCTCTTCTTCCTTGAGGATGTCTTCACTCTGCTGAGTGTGTGTGTGTGTGTGTGTGTGTGTGTGTGTTTCTGCCCTCTAGAACAAGTCCCTTGTGCCTAGACAGACTTATTCTCCCCCCTTCCCCATTCAGGATCCACCTTTCAGAGCCACGTAGCAAAGTCCATGAAAGAACCAGTGGCCTTGGAAGTTTTCTTGCAGCTCACAGCCTCTCCTCTTGATCGCTGTTAGGAGCTCATACTTTTTTCTCCACCAATTTCTAACCAGCTCATTAGTGAGAAATCCCAAGAAAGTGGAAGAGTTCGTTTATATTTTCTGATCTGCACAGAACATTCAGCAGTCTCCAGGACACAGACCACTGAAACCAGGGCATTAAAGTCTGAGCAGCTGATAGTAATTCCTGCCTGCTGCTTCCCCTACCGAAGCTGAACTCATCGGGCTGGGCCTGACAGCAGTGGCAGCCAGCTCCACCTCTGAATGAACACCCCACACGCACATTCCCTCTCAGAGTGCTTGCTGCAGGTGGGATCTAACTCCTCACTCCTCTGTGCATGCACTATGTACAAAACATGCTTTTAGCGTAAATGGAAGAGCAGAGTAGGAGTAGTTACTCCAACAAAACCTGACAGCTTAGAGGCCGAGGAGAGGCAAGGAACGGAACATGAGAGCAGGGAGCAGACGCTTCTCTCCACCAGAGGGGAGTAAAACAGGAAGGGGAGTGACCAGGGCAGCGCGCTCAAGTTGCTGAGAACATACTTTCTCGCAAAGTCAACCTGGCCAGACAGACTGGGGTCTCCAAAACCGGCGGTAACTGAGTAAGCAAGCGTGTCAGGCCCCTCCCCTCCCTCGCACACTCACCTGCAATCCCTTGCAAGAGCCCGCAGACGTTGAAAATACTTTTCTTCATGATGCTCTGCACACACATGGTGAAGACAGACACCAGGGCCACCATGCAGAGGATGAAGATGCCCATAGCTAGGAAGATGGCAGTGGCCTGCCAGAAGCCGCTGGCGATCTCCCCGAAGTTCTCGGCGTAGGGCCCGCACAGCGTCTCCCGCGGGACGTGCTGCACCCCGGGGTTGCGGATGCAGCGGGCGTAGATGCCCAGCGTCGGGTGGTGGGGCTCGGCGGGGCCGCCGCTCGGCTCCTCGGGCTCCGCGCCGCCGCGGGTCTTGGCTTTCCCAATCAGCCAGTCTGCGCTCATGAAGGCAATGAGCTCTGCAAAAGCCACCACAATACTCAGGAGGGTCCAGAGCATCGAGCGACAGGTGACAATGACATGACACATATTGATGTTCAAGGCGGAAAAAGAGGCAGCAGTCCACGGGGTCACTGAAAGAAGCCGGTGGGGAAGGAGGCTCAGAGGGAAGTCGCTGCTGCGGGGCACTCGCTCCCACAGCCTCCCTCCAGCGTCCGGGCTGTCATGCTGCCATGTCGCTCGCTCGCAGCGCCGCTGGCCTCACCTACGGGAGGAGAGAGGAGGCGGTCAGCAGCCCAGGCCCCGCCCCGCAGCGGGAGGCAGCGGGAGGCAGGTTCTCGGTCCCCAACCCCGGTGTGAGCTGCACAGCTGCCCCTCCGCCCGCCCACACAGCTGACCTTCCCGCCCCTTCCACGCCCCTCCGACCCTCCCCGCCCAGGCCACCACTCGGGTCCCCACAGAACCTTGCTGTAGAGGTCCCGGTCCCCAGCCAGCACGTGGCCCTTCCAGCGCGCTGGCTGGGCTCCTTTGTTTCCTCCCAGCTCTCCCGTCTCCTATGCACTACTGACTGGTGGCCACACTGTCTCCCCGCAGCGTGACAGGGGCCAGGGGCCGTGCCAGCCCTCCACCCATCCCAGGGACACCCTTTGGCACAGGGGCTCCAGCTCCGTCATCTTTTTAGAAAAAGTCAAACAGCACAGGGATCCAGACAGATCTAGATATAACTGGCAGTGAACCATCAACAGACTGGCTATGCTTTTTAAAGTTTACAGGTCTCTGCCTGCTGTTTTGATGCTAGACTAGCTAAGTTTCGAAAAACTTGCACCAAAAGTTTTTGCTTAACAGTACTGAGCAACACCACCTAATTTTATTGACTGGGCATCAAATTACTAGCAGTGACATATGAGTACTTGCTTCACGGGTAAATGAGAATACAGAAGGAAACAATGCAGTAAAAGAAAAACACATTGCTACCCAAACTCATTTTTCATCCATTTTCTCAGAGGATCATTTTTAAATAAAATAAAACATACTAATTAAAACACAAGGAGGAAAAAAAAAAATTCAGAGAAGAGTTCATGACTTAGTCACTTGGGGAAATTATTCAAAAATGACCGTTGACTAAGTATCTTGACCACTGAGTGGACTTGTTGACAACAGAAACTTGCCTGTGAAGAATGAACTGTCCCAATTCATCATGGGCCTCTGCCTGAGCTCCCCTTCACCCCAGGTCTGGAACTCAACGTGCCCATTGTTTCTGATCTCACAAGGACTCATTCTGTTCCCAAAGACGGATGGCTTCATTACCAGAGGGCTTTGCTCTGACAGTTCAAACCTCCTTCAGAGGGGCCTGAACCCTGAAACAGGGGCCACAGTGCTCGCTGGCAGCCCTATTTTCTGCCCTCTCTCCAAGGTCAGGAAGAACTGCCCAGCTCACATCTGACATCAGGGTGCATGGCTCTGTTCTGAACAATTAGATCTTATCAACCCAGGCCATCTCAACTGCATAAGAACTACAAAGAGCCCCATGGCATGTTGGCAGTGGGGTGGGGCAGGGAGTTAGGGAAGATGGAGGAAAGAGGAGAAAATAAGGAAGCCCAGTGTCCCCACGCTGGCTGACATCTAGTGAGAGATGACTACTTAGCCCATAAAACATAACCCATTGGAAAGTCCTCATACCATTGTAGTTATGCAACATGCTGTTTTGGGAAATTAGCACAATACTGGAAACATAGGCACTTAATGTGTGTGTGTGTCTGTGTGTGTGTAATGAGGCTATTCATGGTTGTGTGTTCAACTGCAAGAGTTTTGGCATCCACAAGGTCTGGGTTCCAAATCCAGTTGCACCACTGACCGACATCTAACTTCTCAGAGCTCAGCTTCCTCATCTACCTGAAAGGAACGGTAAGAGTACCCTGTTTCACAAATTGTGAGGAGTAAAATGAACCTGTTAAAGCACCTTGCTCAGTGCATGGCATAGTAAGTGCTCAATAAATACCAACTCCTTTCCCCCAGGAACTTTCCCCCTAACACTGATGACACTGGTCAGACAGCAATTTAACCGATGCAGTTGCTCAGTAGATAACAGAAACTTGGCCATTATGCACAGAGAAAGATTAAGCACAGGCTATTTAGAGATGAATGAGGTCACTCGTGTCTATGCTTCCCTGGTGGGCTTTCAGGGCGGGATCCTGATCTGACTTCCTGTTTCCCCACTACTTGACCCAGCTGCCAAACTCAACTGTGGAAAATAAATTAGCTTCAGGCCCGAGTATAACCTACTCCCACTCACTCGTTCTCACGTTCCCCCTCCCCAAATATCACCAAATAGAAATGCCTTTTGAAGAAAAACTTACCAATACAAAAGAGCTTTGGAGGAGATTGTAATGAAAATGGCCATTCTGGAGGAGAATAAGAAAACAAGCCACGATGACTCCCGGGAGTCCCCAAGAAGCTACACCCACCCGCCAGGCTCATAAACACTCTGAGCCAACAGGTGGACAGCCCAGCCTGTTAAGAGAAAACGAGGCTACTACAAAGTCTTCCAATTTGATTAGAAAACCAATTTACTGTTATGGCCAACCGATCTCCATCCTTACCCCTCTAATATTTAATTGCAACTGTTCAATATGAATATAAAACCTCTACATATTTGTCCTCTTGCAGAACCTCAGGACTCTGCTACTGACTCCCAGGTGACAGGGGTGTTAATGGACATGCCAAGCTCTGCCCAGAGTCAGGAATACCATTAGGTGGCAACTTCTGAAGAGAAAGGAAGTGAGACTTCAGAAGGGAAGACGGCACATACGGGCTTAGCAGAACGGCCCATGCCAAATTTAAGGCAGGGTTATTTAGGGACCCATGTGCTTAAGTTTAGACTGTCTAGTTCCCTGCCCATTTGTACTAAAACTATCCACTGCACCAAATTCTTATGTCCATGCCAGAGTGGCTGGAGTGAAGCCTTTATTCTTTGTTTGGTCTCCCCAGCTCTGATAAGAGAAATAGCCAGGAAATCCAAGGCCGACTGACAATAACAGAGCATCCAAGGAAAGTCCTCAGGTTGGAGGAACAAGGGAAAACCTGGGAACAGCACAGCAAGGGGCTCCAGAGTGGCCTGCATTCTGTCAAATGTCCCGCTTTGGTCTGTCCAGGAGCAGGGATGCCTGCTGAGAGCATCCATATCAAAGGGGCAGTAGATCCTTGTTACTGATGGTTAACCACAGGGATTCGGGCACAGCATTCCTTAGCACGGAATCCACTGCCGCTACTCAATGCAATTTCTGCTTCTTCAAAGCTCACTTAAGTAAACCAGGCCCTCATTGACATTCCATGTCAACGTCTTCTATCCACAGGCCATTGAATACACGTTCCCTCCAGGACACCTGACTCTCCTATCACATCCCTGATGTTTGTGAATGATCAAGATGGCCCTCTGATTTTCAGAAAATGATGCTATGATTGTCATAAAGATCCGATGAGCCTCTTAGCAAGTAATAAGAAAACAACCAACCCCTCCGAGAATTCTGCAGAAACCTAGAGTAATACTATAGTCAGAAAACAGAGAACGGAGGAGTTGATAAATGGTCGGCCCATGGGTTGATTACACATGTGTTCTCCACAGAGCCTGACAGTTAAAGGGGACAGGCGCTGTGCAGGCTGGATCAGGTTTGTGAGGTCCGTCACGGGATCCTGTCTCTGGAAGCTTCCTGCCTGGTCTGCTTTCCAAGTTTATCATGAAAATATGCAGACACAGATATAAGTTGAAAAGAACACACAATGAACACCCAGATGACACGTGTTACCCTTGCCACACCTGTTCTGTTGCTCTGTGGCGTACACACTAACACACACAGACAGTTCTCTTCTGGACTGTTTGAAAATGAGTTGCAGATGTCTTGACACTTTAGCTCTAAATATTTGATGATACACCTCCCCAAAATAAGGACATTCTCCTACATAACTACAATAACACTAACACACCCACGAAAACTGACAATAATGCCCTTATATTCAAAGCCTCATCCACACTCAAATTTCCCTACCCTGCCCCATTTTTTTATAGCTGTTTTCTTAAAACCATGACTCAATCAAGGCTCATGCATTACATTTGGTTATGTGTCTTTAATTTCTTTTAGTCAAAAATAGTCCTTCCGGCCTGTGTGTGTGTCAACCTGTCCATCTAGAGAGAACACGCACAGGGTCCTCTCTGGTCCTACAGAATCCGGATTGTTGTGAGGCAGTGGCTAGAAGATGGGTCTGGGCAGGATTCCGTTTTTGAAGCCTCTTTGGGTGGGTTCGGATGCCTCGGCTGGGAGGCCCTGTTCTGAGAGACGCCATCCCAGAAGCTGAAGTCCTTCACCAAAGGAGTTTTTCTTCTAAAAAAGGTTTGCTGTATTTCTTTGCATTGGAACCACATTTTATGCATAAGTTACGAAAACACAGCTCTGCAGGCTGAGGAAGGCGCTACAGCTTCTGGGAGGGAGGCGGCCCTCCCCAGGCGGAGTCACTTGGACCAGGAGGGCGCAGGTCGTGGCGATGAGGAAGGATCTGTGCGACAAGAAGGAAGGGCCATCCTTTTAAGAAGGACCAACCTGGGCTGGAGGCTTCTCCGCAGCCTTGCTCTCTGCCCCCGCTCAGCCAGTGCAGAGGGGCATTAGGCAGAGGGCCACTAACCAGTGCGAGTGGGGGTGGCAGTGTTTTAAGAGCTTTGTAAACAGGCCTGGGATCAGGTCTCTGCTTTGCCACTTAACAGCTGTTTGTCCTTCGAAGTCTATTTATATTTAACCTCTGCCAGCCTCAGTTTCCTCATATGCAAAATCAGGTTGACAGCATCTTCCTCATGAGGCTGCCATGAAGATTAAAGGAGAAAGTGTACATCAAATAATCAGCGGGGCTTCCAATTCACAGTGCTCAACATATGTTGACTATTATCAATCATTATCACGATTAGCTTAAAATATGGGCGGTTCAGTAAGTACTCAAAAACATTAACTCCTATTATCAATAATAAATTTGCTGCACTGCCCATGTGGTCCAAATAATCAATACACTTTGAAGAAGAATATATTTCTCCTCCATCACTAGCAGTTCCTTGGCTGACACCTATTTTCATTATCTCCATCTCCCGCAGACGGACCCAAGTCACAGCAGGTGCTGCGGTGTCTCCTGGAAGCATCGGGGTAGAGGGAGGGGGTGTGCTTGCTCCCAGCCTCGGAGAGAGCCTCAGAGTGCTGCTGCTTGAAGTGTGGTCCCCGCACCACCTGC